TCCCCTCAACCCCAAACCAACCACTAAAAGATGTCCCTAACCCTGAGGGCAAACTCTGTTGGGAGAGGGGACGTCGTCCTCTAAGATTGCTTCAAGCTGACATGGGGGCGATGTTCTCCTTAGGGGCTCCTGTGAAAGCAAATGATGGTAAAATTCCCAAATTAACCTTTGACCTAAGAAAATTATAACTAGTCCCTGAGCACTTTGAGAAGGTCTGGCCAGAGTGTTGTCAAAAATGTGCACCATTCGAAATTGTCTCTTGCAATGGGCATCGAAGAGGATCCTTATGGAGCTTGATAGCCATTGGGCAAGAAACTGCTCTTGCCTGGACTGTTGCATAAACTGGACATAGAACCCACAGAGAGAGGACTGCTGAACTTGCCTAAAGGTGAGATGGTCTTTCGGGGTTCCTGATTCATGAGAATCTGCGAGACATTCTGCAGGACACGGCAGAAAGTGACTGAACTGTCTTTGGAATTTTCCTGTTTAATGGAAATATCTGCTGGATACTATGGGCCTGAAGGCCGAAGATGGATGCCCCAATGGTACAGAGGAACTTTGGGTGACTGTCCAGGCAGTGTGATGTCTCTATCATTTCTAGAGTTTAGGACTTCTTGTTTGCTTAAGAAATATTATATCCTTCTGGAGTCTTTGATGGAATTGAAGAATGGTTAGATAGTTATAGTTTTCCTTAGTTATGATAAAAGATAAAGTAGATATAAATGTTGTAACTGTAATTCTTACTTGATAACTGTTTTGTTATATGTAATTTTACTATGTTAAAGTTAAAGCCTTTCTTTTTTATTTAAACAGAAAAAGGGCAAATGATGTGGGCGTGATTTCTTATTAATAAAGAAACTGCCTAGGCCCATTTGATAGGCCAACCCTTAAGTGGGTGGAGTAAACAGAACAGAATTCTGGGAGAAAGAAGCTGAGTCAGAGAGTCGCCATGGTTCTCCCACTCCAGACAGACGCAGGTTAAGATCCTCCCTGGTAAGCCAGCTCGTGGGCTACACAGATGATTAGAAATGGGTTAGAACAATATGTAAGAGCTAGCCAATAAGAGGCTGGAACTAATGGGTCAGGCAGTGTTTAAAAGAATACAGTTTCCATGTAATTATTTCAGGTAAAGCTAGCAGTGCGGGCGGCCGGGTGCCGGGGATGCAGCCTCGCCGCTCCTAATGCAACATATACCTAACCATATCAATAAATTCTGTTTGGGCACTTTCAGCAGTATAGCATCAACACTTACATTTTTAGGACAAGAAAGTTGGTCTCTCACATTCTTCCTGTACCTGGATCATGAATATTATTCACAAGTATAAGGTAAACATTTCAACAATACTGTTTTTTGTTTTTGATATGCAATGACAGTTCTTAAGTGAATGTATAAGACCAAATCTTGAATACAAATTAAGTTTATATTTACCTTCTTCAGCATTTTAGGAGTATCAATCAGTAACCTTCCAGTGTACAAATTTTTAAAAAGATTTCTCATGTGAATATACTTTTTACAGCCATGATTTTGTAGACGTCTGAATTTGACTTTGACTTTGGTAGGGTTAGTGTTTTGCAGTATAACCTCTTCCCTGATGTTTCCTAGGGAGATGTCAACAGATGTCTACTTACTCCAGGAAAGGCACCCACAACAGCACAAGAAATGACTCTACTCAAGTCTAGTTCAGTGAACCAATTATTTTATTATGATTTCTTGCAGGGACATGGGTGAGGGTTCCTTACAATAACATTGACACATAAGGGCAGCTTTATCCCAGAAAGCCAACCCCTACAGAGCCTGGGTGACAACTCATAAGAGTTCCATCACTGCAGCTCCCTGAACATCCTGCTGGTGGCTGAAGCAGTTCCCTCTCTTAGCAACTGTTTAAAGTACTTAACAAGTTGTATACATATACACATCTCACTTGTTATTCATTGATCATTTTAAAATCTTTAAAAGTTTAATGACTGATAAATAGAGATGCCAGTTCTTATATTTAAGTGGTTCAAATATACGAATACATCTTTGTACAACAAAAAACTTGCTTGCACCTTATCTGTAGAGATACAAAATTTTTGAATAGTTCTTAATCTACACAGAATCTTCTAAATCTATAAAGTTACAGACACCTGAATAATTTTAAAGTGTAAATTTATACAAAAGATGTCTTTTGTATATATCCCATACCCATAGTGGACTCTATTCCTTTGGTGCTCCTGACAACAGATGTGACTGCACACTCCAGGCTGTCTTCCTTTCCTCACAGCTCTCACAAGAGCCCAGTTTGCCCCATCTCTGGGGAAAAGTCCTTTATTAACATTCCTGCTAGAAGTGTTGTGTATAGGTTATTTGAAGTGGTGCTAAAAAAGCCTGCAGAGTGCTGTGTTCTGCAGTGTCCCAGTGTCTTCACAGCATTGTAGAAGGAAAGTAGACAGGCCTCCATCTTCATGATGAAAATATGAAATTTCTCTGAGTTTTGTTTTTTAGTGAAAATTGTGCTGTGTACATCCATTGTTATTGTCTTGTGGATTGCATTGTGTTTGAAATATTACTATTATGCAATCTATATTTTATCTCTCATTGATATTTACTCTATTTATTTTCACCAAAAAATCTATACTTTGATTCTTATCTAGGTTTTCTTTTATTCTGAACTTCATCTTTCACTGTTAACATTACACATTCATAACTTGGTTTTTTGTGTTTTTTTGTGTTTTTTGTTGTTGTTGTTGTTGTTTTTTTTTTTTTTTTTTTTTTTTTTTTTTGATTTTCGAGACAGGGTTTCTCTGTACTTTTGGTGCCTGTCCTGGAACTAGCTCTTGTAGATCAGGCTGACCTCGAACTCACAAAGATCCTCCTGCCTCTGCCTCCCGAGTGCTGGGATTAAAGGCATGTGCCACCACCACCCGGCCACATTCATAAGTTTCATCTCAAAAATTCACTCAACTGCAGATATTTTACAAAGCAGAGCATTTATTTTACCACTGAATATATATGTATATGTGTGTGTACTTTCTTTCCTTATTGTTTCATAGGCAACAGAATAACAAACAACTACTCACTTCACAATCTTCTTGTTTCCCAATTCAGTTCTTAAACCTCCTTTCAAAAAAATGAATTTATTCAACAATATTCAGAAGTAGTCTGAAATTTCCAAACATCAATGAACCATGTACAAGTACTAAAACATCCTCCTCCTATTACACATGTACACATTTTATAACATATGTGACCCCATAAAATTGTATCTGAGAGACGTGTAAAAATATATTCAACATTTTTCCATGTGCAAACAAATAAATAAACAATATTCAAAGAGAAAAATGTTGATAAAACCAACCTAGTAATTTGAACAGTTTCCTTATAAAGATTCACAGAATCCTTATGACAGATTTAGCATCACTGAACATAGGCCACATGAATACATGCACACATGTATTTTACATATTAACATAAATCTTTTAAAAGTTTCAAAATGAATTTCTCTGCTTATATTTAATGTTACAAAACTGCAAAAGAAGTGACAGAAAAAAAATGCTGTACAGTAACAGGAATGTGACCACCATTTGCAGAGCCTTTATGTGGGCCGCTTTGCTGACATCTCTGGAACCCTTGGCGTTGTACTGCATGCTTTTCAGATGTCGCCACAGGGAGATGAGCAGGAGAGACACAGTCAGGGTCACGGTGAAGGGTATGAGTGTGAACATAGAGTTTGTGAGTATAATGTGACTATAAACTTGAGAATAATTACTTGAGACAACTCTGAAGAATGTATTGGCTTCAAGTCTGTCAATCCAGAGATCAATGTGTGTGTTTATAAATAAAATGTTTAAAACCAAGAGGAACAAAGATGCCAACAGTGTCCCTGAAACCATTTTTTTAACTCTCCACTTCAGATGAAGAAAAATAGAGTTGGAAAAAATTGGCTATCTTGAGAAAATAGAAGATGCTGAGACACATAGCAAGCCAGATACTGAAATGATTGGTTACTGTCCAGAAAATACAAATTTGTCTCATAATTCTTCTAGTTATTATTATGTCTGGGTATTGTTCAGATACAAATAAACTTACAGTTAGTGAAAAAATCAAAGCAACTCTGGAAATTGCCAGAGTAGTCAAGATCAGATCTATGAGAGATAACTTTCTCCTCTTTAACAAGTGCATAACGTTTACCAAAACTGTGAATGCATTGCCTAAATTTCCCATTAGGAATTCCACACTTAATGTAGTTAATAATATGTAATATAGGACACCATTCATTGTATCCAAAAGGAAGTTCATAATTCCACTATAATGCAAAATATTTGTAAATACAGTCTTCTGATGTATGTCTAGGTGATTCTTGAGAATGAACTCATATGTACAATTCAAGTAAAAATCAAATTTACTAATGAAATGGTTTATAAAGTTCTTCACAAAAATCTTACGCTTTGCAAGAAAACCCCACTGTGCTTCATCCAGATGCTTCATACTACACACAATGGACTGGAATTCTCCATAGTTGATGCTGAAGAAGCAGAATTCTCATGTCCTGTATTCAAAACATATAAATTTATTTTCATTGTTTGGACTGTTCACATATTAAATTTTAATCATTTATTTTCTGACAAGCAAAATTATAAAATTTTAAGTCATAATAAGCAAAATATCTTAACTTTTATGCAAAAAAATTTTTATTAAATATTTCAAAATGAAGCACCTATACATATTTTCCAAAGTTCTTTCTATGAGCAAACAATTACCTAATAATCTTACATAGTTAGTTATTCTTTAAATACTGGAATTGAGAAGATTAATAATTTTAGTTTTTAGACAATCATATATGCATGCATACATATCCATATACTAGTATATGCTAGCTCATAAGTATGCATTTATTTAGACCATAATCCCTTTCATTTCTGACATAAATAATTCAGGTTTATCATGTACTTAAAATTTATTGTTCATTTCACTTACGATTAGTAATATGGTAGTTGTTAGATGGTATAAAATTGCTTTCATTTTTAATCGATACAATAGTAATGTAAATATTCTAAAGACTTGTGACTATCTTATTCATACATGTAAATAAATATGGAATAATTCCTATTCTGTTACAAAGCAGAAATAAATTTACATGAATTTGTTTGTACAACAAGAATCCTTTTCATTATCCATGTCTCCTACCTTCGTTAATGCATCGGGTTCCTTCACCAGTGTGAGCACTAGGCACTATTTTTGTTTCCCTCCAGTTTGTACTGACATTTGCTCCTGTAATATCACTGTAGGCATCTAGGCATATAAAGGACAATACATAGCCCAGTCAAGCCAGGGAAGAGAGCAAAGGGTCAGAATATTCTTCAAGACCTAATGGATAATTTCCACATCTTAGAATGGTATTATTATACAGCAATAAAAAATAAAAATAAAAAAGACCTAATGGATAGTCAAAGAAGCAATAACACAAAAGAGAAGTATTAAAAAAAAAAGAAAGCAGAAAAACATATGACAAAAACATTAGTAAACTTGGCCTAGTGGTACACACTGGTATATGTGGCTCATCACTGATAGAAACTGGGCTAGTTGGTGAGACCCTGTATAAACATAAGACTAACAAAAATGTTTAGAAAGAAGGAAAAGCAAAGGTTTTGTATGTGAAAGATGGATTATAACTGGAAATTGGAACAACAGTAAACAAAGAAAGTGAAAAAATTGCTAGAACAGAAACATTAACATACCTGAACACAGAAAGGTCCTCATGGGATGGCTCTTTCCTCATAACAAAAAGACAGAAGAAGAGAAAGAGAAATGCAAAGCATATTGAGGGTGGGGCGGCGTGGAGAAAATGTTAGTACAAGAGGTTCAAGGCCTTCAAGAAAAGTGAAGCTTTTATCCATGCTTGTATCCTTGAGAGGCAGTAAAGTCAGCCCAGAAGCTTCCCTGAGTCCCTCTTCTCCACCTTCCACTCTGGAAACATTTGAGGTTCTACTGGTACTGGAATAGCTGTAGCTGCTGGACTCTGTAGGCCAAGTTGCTTTGTTCAGATTCAATACTTCTACTATATTGATAGCGGTAAGATTGCTGTGAAAGTCTCTGACACAGTTGTAGGAAAAGAGCCCAGACTTCTACTGAATTGATGCAAGGCACTCCTTCAAGAGAGGAGTAACCCATATGCAAGAGACAAAGCAGTAAAAACAAAGGTACAGAACAAGCATAGTCTCCCATTCTCAGTGCAGGGCACTCCACAAAGGTATAAGCCATAAGTTGATAGTATCAGTCACTCTTTGAGTGGCACAGTTCATGAATATTTTGATCATGAATCTGTTTTCTATTTTCTTGGTGAATAAAAAAATAAGAAAAGGAATTTTCTTACTAACTAGATTTTTTAATGTTAAATAGTATTTTGCATATAAAATAAGTAATAAGAAATGTCAGGATAGTGACATTATCCACAGTTGAAAATAATATGAGATTTTATTAAAATCATTTTTATTATTAATTTAAAAATACTAATCCAAATTCTCACTTCCTCTTTTCTTTCTACTCCCTCACACGCCCTCCAATCCCACCCCCCTCCAATCCTAAGAGAGGGCAAGGCACCCTACCCTGTGGAAAGTCCAAGGCCCTCCCTACTACATATAGTCTGAGCAAGGTATGCATCCAAAGAGAATAGGATCCAAAAAAAACAGTATCTGCAGCAGAGACAAATCCCATTGCCACGGTCAGTGGCCCCTCAGTATACCCCTACTGTAAACCCCATTCAGCGGGACTAGTTTAATTCCATGCTCGTTCACTCCCAGTCCAGTTGGAGTTGGTGAGCTCCCATTAGCTCAGGCTAATTGTCTCAATGGATGAACCCCTCATGGTCTTGACCTCCTTGCTCATACTCTCACTCCTTCCACTTTTCAGCTGGACCTTGGAGCCTCAGTCCAGTGCTCTGATGTGGGTCTCTGCTTCTGTTTCCATCTGTTATTGTATGAAGATTCTATGGTGATATTTAAGATAATCATTAAACTCACTACAGAGCAAGGCCAGTTCAGGCACCCTCTCCTCTATTGCTTAGGGTCTTAGCTGGGTTCATCCTTGTAGATTCCTGGAAATTTTTCTAGAGCCAGGTTTATTGTTAACCCAATAATGGCTCCCTCAAACAAGATATCTCTTTCCTTGTTCTCATCTCTGTCTTTCCTCCATCCCAACTATCCTGTTCCCTCAAGTTCCCTCAACCCTCTCCATCTCCCTTTCATTCTACACCCTGCCCCCATGCTCCCAATTTAGTCGGGTGATCCTCTCTGTTTCCAATTTCCAGGTGAGTCTATTTACATTTTTATTTGGGTTCACCTTATTACTTAGCTTCTCTAGGATCATGAACTATAGTCTCAATGTCTTTTATTTATGGCTAGTATCCACTTATGAGTGAGTACATACCATATTCATTTTTGGGGGGTCTGGGTTACCTCAGTTAGGATAATGTTTTCTAATTCTATCCATTTGCATGCAAAATTCAAGATGGCATTATTTTTTACCACTGAGTAGTACTCTAATGTGTAAATGTGTCACACTTTGTTTATCCATTCTTCAATTGAGGGGCATCTAGTTTGTTTCCAGGTTCTGGCTATAATAAATAATGCTGTTATGATCTAAGTTGACCAAATGCTTTTGTAGTATGATTGAGCATCTTTTGGGTATTCCCAAGAGTAGTATTGTTTAATCCTGAAGTAGGTTGATTCCCAATTGTCTGAGAAACAAAGTCCTTATCCAAACTAATCAAAAGGCAGAGAGGGAACATCCAAATTAACAAAATCAGAAATGAAAAGGGTGCCATAACAACAGACACTGAGGAAGTTCAGAGAATCGTTAGGTCTTATACAAAAACCTGTACTCCACAAAATTGAAAAATTTAAAAGAAATGGACAATTTTTTAGATAGATACCATATACCAAAATTAAATTAAGACCAGGCAAGCAATTTAAATAGACCTATCAGTTGCGAGGAAATAGAAGCTGTCATCAAAAACCTCCTAACCAAAAAACACCAAGGCCAGATGGTTTTAGTGCAGAAAGAGAAGAGATAATATCTATACTCCTCAAAGTGTTCCACATAATAGAAACAGAAGGATCATTGTCAAACTCTTTTTATGAGGCTACAGTTACCCTGATACCAAAACTGCACAAAGACTTAACCAAGAAAGAGTATTACATACCAATCACACTCATGAAAAATGGATGCAAAACTTCTCAATAAAATACTGGCAAACTGAATCCAAGAACATATTAAAATCTTTTACATGGTTTTCAAAAACTACCATATTGTCACAAGTAGCATCTACTTTGGAGTTACAGCTGCAGTTAATACTTCCGGCATTTTAATAATCTATTAACATTTCACTGAAAATTGTAAATAACCAGGCTTTTGCTATAAGAAATGCTTCTGTTTGTATAATTTTGCAACCTCAAAGTTAACCAAATGAAAACAGAAAGAATATTCATGCTACACACAGATATTATAAAATATTTCTTTGTTGACCTCTTTACAACCTTCTCATAATTTACTCATTCATTCATCCACTTATTAATTCTATAAAATATTTTGACAACTATTTTTTTTTTATTTTTAGGTGCTAAGAATAAACATAACTGGCATGATTTCTTCTCCCAGGATGCTTTTACTGTGTTTGAAGATATGAACATAAAGTTGAGCATGATTGATTCTGTGACTGAAATTATCTGCCTTCACTTTTACATAATAATCACAAGATGTCATAGCACTCAAATTTAAAGAAACAGGAGCTCACTATTTGCAAGCCCTTCATGTGGACTGTGATGCTGAGATCTTATAATCCTTTGTGTGGAGCAACATCTCCCTGAGCTTCTTTCAAAGGAAGTAGATTAACTACTGAGTAGAGAACAGGGATGCAGTACAGAGTGTGAATTGTCCACAGTGAGGACAGTCCTGTTTGAGTGTGAAGTAGTGTGGAGTGTCTACAGTGAGGACAGTCCCCTGTGAGTGTGGAGTGTCTACAGTGAGGACAGTCCTGTTTGAGTGTGAAGTAGTGTAAAGTGTCCTCAGTGAGGAGAGTCCCATGTGAGTGTGGAGTGAGTGTGAAGTGTCCACAGTGAGAACAGTCCCGTGTGAGTGTGAAGTGAGTGTGCAGTCTCCACAGTGAGGAAAGTCCCATGAATGAGTATGAAGTGTCCACAGTGAAGACAATCCCATGTGAGTGTAAGCAGTTTTGTCCTTCAGCTTGGTCTTTCTAATCAAATTGCTTTCATATTCACTCAACAGAGAAGTCTCTTCTATGTTCACAGCCATAAAAATCACAATCAAAACTTGTGTGCAGAGATGTATGTGCAGTATGCACACTCATATGTGAAAGTGTACATGCCCCACTCAACAAGGCAATGACCGTAGAGGATGTCAGGTGTCTTCATCTATCACTCTGTCCCATTTCCTTGAGATAGGATATCTCACTGAGCCTGGAGCAGAGCTGG